AAAAACAACAAAACCCCCGCAAACAACAATAACAACACACACACACACAAACACACACACGTTAATCCTGGGGTTCAGGGAATTAGGATAATGATGATGCTTATCAACATTTTACTTAGAATCGATTTGCGGGTTACAAATTGTTTCTGTCTTTTTTAGATGGAAGAATTAATAGTTTGTTTTTTTTTTTTTTTTGTTTTTTTTTTTGGTCTTTATCATTTTTATCGGTACTAGGGATTGAACTCACGACTGCCTGCTTGCAAGACAGGTGCTTATGCCGCTGAGCTAAATCCCCAGCCCCAGAATTAATAGTTTTAATCATGGAAAAAACTTTGGAACGGTAAGTTCTTAATTCAAACCAGGTCCCAGTCCAACAAAGGAGAGTTTTTTTAAAAAGTAGTTCCTTCCCTGATTTCATTGGGCTGCAGGTTATAGGAGCCAGGAATGCTGTATGCCTGGTTTGGAACCTAGCTGTTCAGGTATCAGGAATGTACATATGTAATCTTAAAATGCCATTGTGCTCTATGAGATAGCTTTTTGAGACCTAACAAAAGATTATATTAGACACTGAGATGTTTCCTAACATACAACACATACTATTTTAGACCCCAGCCCCCTCCCCTTCAAATTTACCAGTGTCCAAGTACCTGCCAAACAATAGATTCGTATTTCCATTCAAAAATATTAATGTGCCTAATTAGAAGGTACGTAATGTACAATATGTGCGTGCTGTTGCTCCATTTTAACTTTACATAAGCACAAACGATGCTGAATTCTGAAGCACGTCGGGTGCCAAAGATTTCCAGTAACAGGCTGAGGACGTAACAATGCTGCCCCTTGGGATGCTGTGAGGATTAAAGAAGAGCATTAAAAAAAACCCAAAAAAACAGAAATAGAAGCTAAGGCCAGGCCCAGAATGGCGATGACAGGGTGGAATGAAGGACACAGCCAGGTCAGGAGTCAGTGCCTAATACCTAGGAAACAGAGAAGCGCCAAGGGAAGCAAGCACATGATACTTGATTCTTACAAAGTTTTGCTGGGCTAGGTCATGACACAGATTTGGGAGACCCTGAAAATGAAGCGCGGGGCACTGCAGCTGGGCACTGCAATGGCCAAATGAGGCTTGATAGAGGCGTGGCCCAAATCGAGTTAACAAGCTGATTTGAGTCTTTTCACCCTACAGCTCGCTAGTATCTTCAATGGCGCTGCAAAATGGCAGCAACGCTTGGTATGTGTGTGTGTGTGTGTGTGTGTGTGAGTGGCTAAAATGGACCACCATATGTAAAAGAACCGTGGAAACGAAGCCCGCAAGAGTCCAAGCAAAAAGGCGACTGCGATCCCCACGAAGAGACGCAACGCAGCTATTTGATTTCATCAGATTTGACCGCTGCCGAACGCCGTACGTTGATCGCACTCCAAATCCTTACGCAGTATCCCCGCGGCTTTCACTAAGTTTGAACCCGACAACCCACCGTACGGTCTCTAACTCATTATCAGCAAAGAGGGCGTCGATTTGGGAATAATTTGGGCAAAGGACGGCGTGCGCGGAAGTGACGCGCGGAACCTGCCCTCTGACCTGACGTTGGTTGCGGGCGCGCGCTCGCACGCCGGAAGGGGCGGGGCTATCCATAACCTTATATAGTGAGAACCACGCTGCGCTCGGCCTCTACAGGCAGGACGAGACGACGAGATGGTATGTGGTGTATGGCGTTTTTGCTCTTGTTCCTGGAACCGCCATGGCGGAATCAGTAGTTTATCGTCGTCATCTCGGTTTGTCCTGCTCCAAAACCTTGATTAAGAAGTTCTGGGGACACAGCAGAGTCAGTGATTAGGGCTATTTTCTAGAAACTCTCAAGGTCTACGGAGAAGGGTGCGTGGATTAGTTTGCGGCCTACAGGTCGGCCAGAGAAAGGCCTCGGGGTGGGAGCAGGCCTCGAGGCTTTACATTTAATAAAACTGTCTTTCTCACCGGATTTAGTGATGAGGGCCCATGAATTCGCCTCGTCACGCGGCTTTCAGTGGGCTTACTGGATGTTTAGGATGGCGGGGCAGGCGGAAAGGGGAGATTGTGCTAGAATTGTGGACCCCGTGTTTTGAAATGCCTTGTTGCAAATCGTAAGCCCCCTGCAATTCCCAGAAACCACAAATGATGAACTTATTGACGGGCGGACAGAGACTGTGTGCTGATTGTCAAGTTCTGATTTGGCTCTGGGTTCTAGAGGCGCCTGTTGCTAGAACTGCAGGGTTCTGTAGAAAATAACACCCGCCACCGATTGTCATCGGGGTCATTCTTCCGAGATTCACACATAAATAAAGCCATTTGTTAAGTGGTTTATTGCCAGTATCTGGTGCTGTTTTGTGTTAGGGAAAATTACCTGGTTTATTTTCTTGTAAAACAGTTTCGTGTTCAGGTGTGGTGTTAGGCCAGGCTGCTTTTCGGGATTCAACATTGATGAGAACACCTAAAACTACAGAAGCCAGAGCTCAATTTGGTTATTTTCTTTCCCCCAGTCTCACAGGAAGTTCTCTGCTCCCAGGCATGGGTCTTTGGGCTTCTTGCCTCGGAAGCGCAGCAGCAGGCATCGAGGGAAGGTGAAGAGCTTCCCTAAGGATGACCCTTCCAAGCCCATCCACCTCACAGCCTTTCTGGGCTACAAGGCTGGCATGACCCACATTGTGAGGGAAGTTGATAGGCCAGGATCCAGTAAGTACACGTTGCATTGTCCTTAGGAGGATGGGAATGTTAAGCTTTAGGGCAGATTGGCCCTCCAAGGCTGCCTGTAGAGCCCTAGAACCTGCTGTGAGTAAATGTACTGACAGCCACAATAGTGTTTAAAAAAATAAAGTGCTTTGAGTTGCTGAGGCTGCAATAGAAACTGCCTTTCTGATAGGTTAACCTCAGCAGAACACAGCATTGTCTACTGAGCAAGTTAGGCACTTAATGCTGTTCTGATCCGAAATGAACTGTGTGTGACACCCTGCCTGTTGAGAGTTTTAAGTGCAGGCTCACGCAGAATGGGAGATTCACAAGGAGGGCAGTCCCCAGGGTGGCCCCACTTCTGTCAACTCTGAGTTGAAGCAAATTGTTGGCCTGGCCTAAATGGAGATTTGACTATTTTCTGCAGAACTCCTTGTGGGCATTTTTTGCCAGCTCGCTCAAGTCTGACTACTTTCTCTGCAGAGGTGAATAAGAAGGAAGTTGTAGAGGCCGTGACCATTGTGGAAACACCACCTATGGTGGTTGTAGGCATTGTGGGCTATGTGGAAACGCCCCGAGGCCTCCGGAGTTTCAAGACCGTCTTTGCAGAGCATATTAGTGATGAATGCAAAAGGCGCTTCTATAAGAACTGGTAGGTGGGGCTGGAGAACAGAGAGTGCCCAAGGAGGGCTCAGTTCTAGATGGGAGGAGCTGCTCCGTTTCCCAGCTTAGTTGCCCTCTAAACAGGCTAGCAACCTGGAGCAGCCAGCATCAGTGTGCAGACACTTGTCATGTGTGCAGGCTAGCTAGTGGGTGTTGGTTAGCAGAGAACCCAGTCACCCTGGGTTGCTGGGAAGTCCTGCATGGAGACAGCAGGTGTGGGATGATTGCACCACTGTGCTCATGGCAAGAGTGCGTGACCTTGGGTTGATAGCCCTTTTTCTGTGAGACTGCACCCACCCCCCAGATAGAAAAGGGAGCTTTCTCTGGTATCATGGAGCGAGAATTGTGTTGTGAATGTTTGTGGCTTATATTAACCTTGTGGCCCTCTGCTCAGCTCCGCTCAGCTTTGCCTGATGAGCTCCATCCAGGCTCCGCTTGCCGGTGGAAAAGGCTCCTTAGAAGCCGGCAATGAGCCCCATCCCCACGTGGTGCCAGTGTACCTTCCGCTGCCCCCGCAGAGGGGTGATGAAGGCCTGCACCCGCCCCCTTTCCCAACTCTGCTCTGCTCCTGAAGGCATAAATCTAAGAAGAAGGCCTTCACCAAGTACTGCAAGAAATGGCAGGATGACATGGGCAAGAAGCAGCTGGACAAGGACTTCAGCAGCATGAAGAAGTACTGTCAGGTCATCCGCATTATCGCCCACACCCAGGTAAGGGCCTGGCGTCCTGCCTAGTGCTGTGTGGGGTTCTCCTCTGCTGTGCAGGAACCAGAATCTTTTGGGAACTAAGGCTCACCTATATGGATGAACCAGCTAGGAACCTGACTGTGAGGTTGGAAGCTGCCTTGTGCCCTGGGGCCCTGCACTGGATGAGCTTTTCCACCAGCAGAGTGTGCTGTGTACTCAGATTCTCTGAAAGGGCAGCTGTAACCTACTTAACAAAGTGGAACTTGACCACCTGAAAGTCGGTCTGCAGTGGGCACGTGCTGGCCAGCCACTGTCACTTGAGTCAGACTTGATAAGAGCTATTTTTCTGTCCCTGTCCTGGCTGCGCATCCCTGGTTGCAGGGGTTCACTGGCTGTGTGTTGAGGGACAGATCCTGTAGTGGGTGCATTGCCCTTGCTGAGGGCCCCAAAAGTTCGAACCCCAGAATTTAAAGGGGAACCGGGGGGGGGGTATCACAGTCTAACTCTGGACCTTGTGCTTGTCAGCCAGGTGCTACACTGCTGAGCTATATCCCCAGCCCCTTGATGGGGAATTTTTCCTGTGAGCAAAAATGAAGGTGGTCCCTGTCCTTCAGAGAGGTGCAGAGTGACTGTGATGTCTTTGATACTTGACTGCTTCACCCAGTGTCAGTTCCTCCCCCAGAGGAGCCTTCGAAGCTGAGCTAAGCTGCATCTGCTCCTGTCTTCCAGATGCGCCTGCTTCCGCTGCGGCAGAAGAAGGCCCACCTCATGGAGATCCAGGTGAACGGAGGCACCGTGGCTGAGAAGCTGGACTGGGCCCGGGAGAAGCTGGAGCAGCAGATCCCTGTGAGCCAGGTGTTCGGGCAGGACGAGATGATCGATGTCATCGGGGTGACCAAGGGCAAAGGCTACAAAGGTGAGCTTTGCTGTGGGTCTGGGGCAGGGTGGGCCTGGCTGTTCTGTGATGAGGTCCTGGGATGTGTGCTGGGCATAGCACCCGAGTCAGACTGAGGAGCCTTTCCTTGTTGCCTTCCTTCTGAGAACAGCCCTGCCCTGCAAAGGTGACATCCTGCGGTGCCCTGGGGCTCTGGTAGCCCACTGCAGAAAGCAAACCTGAGCTCAGGCTGTGCTCCAGGGTGTGGGGTAATGTGGACAGGCAGAGCCAGAAGGACCAGGCCTCTGATGGCATAGTGATGACATGTGTCCTCTCCAGGGGTCACCAGTCGCTGGCACACCAAGAAGCTGCCCCGCAAGACCCACCGAGGTCTACGCAAGGTTGCCTGTATTGGAGCGTGGCACCCTGCCCGTGTGGCCTTCTCTGTGGCCCGTGCGGGGCAGAAGGGCTATCATCACCGCACGGAGATCAACAAGAAGGTGAGCGCCCTCCTGGGAAGGGGGAGTGATGTGTTGGGGTGGGTGTGGGGTCTGGTCCCTGACACTGCTCATTTTGTCAGCCAGTTTGGGTCGCTGGGTGTGATAAATGTAGAGATGCATCCTTGCTGTGACTTGGAAATAAAGAGACCAGTGAGAGGTTTGGAGAGCCAGCCCTGCCTTCACTGCCTCTTAGTCAGCAACAGCGTCTGCCCAGCACCCCAGGCATTTCCAGGGAACAGGTCCAGGGCTCCTGTCCATACACATGGTCAGGCTGGTGCAATAGGAGGTGCTTTAATTTTGGGGTGCTGGGGAATCAAACTTTATTACGGAAGAAGGCATTTAACAATAGGAACCGAGGAGCAGCCGGTGTGGTTTAAATGAAAGTTTTCCAGGGCCTTAACAGTTCTGTGACTTGGGTAGCGGCGGCTGTGTGGTATTAGGACACAAAGGCCCCAGCATTTATGTCCTGTTTGTGTGGTACTAGGCATTGGTCCTGCATTGCATTCTAGGCCTTTTTTCTCCCCTTGAGAGACTGTCTTGCTCGGTCACTAAGTTGCCCCCTTTGGGCTCAAATTCGATTCTCCTGCCTCAGCTTCATGTGCCACCACACCTAGCTCCTAGTGGTGTAGTGCTTGCTTTGGACCTTCTAGACTGCCTGGCCTCCTCTTTCCTTCCCCATGCTGATCATGGTTTTTCTTGTCAGATCTACAAGATTGGCCAGGGCTACCTTATCAAGGACGGCAAGCTGATCAAGAACAACGCCTCCACTGACTACGACCTGTCTGACAAGAGCATCAACCCTCTGGTGAGTGCTGGGAGCATCCCGGGCCTGTGGAGGGTCCTAGGCGTGTGTCCTGCTTTGGCCAGGCTGGCTGTGGTCGCAGACCAGTCCCTGTGCAGTACCCAGCTCCTGCAGAAGGGTCTCAGGCAGCTGTTCCGTGATGAGGCCTTGGAATGCGCGCTGGGCACAGCGCCCGAGTCAGACTGAGGAACCATTCCCTGTTGCCTTCCTTCTGAGAACAGCCCTGTTGTCCTGTCCACTGGAGACAGTCTGCATCTGGGTGTTGTCTCCATTCTTCTGTGCTGACTCATGGCCTTGCTTTTTCCTGCAGGGTGGCTTTGTCCACTACGGTGAAGTGACCAACGACTTTGTCATGCTGAAAGGCTGTGTGGTGGGAACCAAGAAGCGGGTACTCACCCTCCGCAAGGTGAGTGGCTCTCAGCCGCCTGCCGTGGAGGCTCCCAGGGCCGAGTAGGCTGGAAGGGGCTAGGGTGACGTCCCCAGCTGACACAGGCTTTGGAGTTCAGGCTGAGGAAGTGCACTGTCTGGCTTGTGCAGCCTCCACTGCTTAATTCTGCTCATTAGCCTGTGGGACAGGGTGGGCAGAGCTGGGCTGTGTCCTGTGATGGGGTTGGAGCAGCTGCCCTGGGAGCCACAGCTGACCGCCCTCCTCGGCCCGCAGTCCTTGCTGGTGCAGACCAAACGGCGGGCTCTGGAAAAGATTGACCTCAAATTCATCGACACCACCTCCAAGTTCGGCCACGGCCGCTTCCAGACCATGGAGGAGAAGAAGGCGTTCATGGTGAGTGTCCCCACCTGCTGCTGTGCCAGCAGAGACTGGTCCCCTGGCTGTGGGTATTCAACCCCGCTGCTGTTCTTCCCGACTTCTAACCTTTTCCACCCATGTTTCTGCAGGGACCACTCAAGAAAGACCGCATTGCCAAGGAAGAAGGCGCTTAGCAGGAGCACCCTGGGCACCTGGTGGGCTCTCAATGAACAATGTTGTTTCCAATGACTCCTGTGTGTTCTGTGAGGGCTGGGATGGAGCTGTGCTGAGAGATAGACCCAGGTGGGGTGGCCAGTGTGGATGCCAGGACATCCCTGTGTGCATATCACCAGGGCGAGACAGACACGGACAGTTTGCTCTACACAGTTTGGGAGACAGCCCTGGGGCTGTGGAGTGGGATTTGGCGTTCTTCGTGCCTTTGTGGCACTGACGCATGTGGACACAGCTGGCCCTAGAGCTGCCTGGTGTGCACAGAGGTTATTGATCCCCCCAAGCCAGTTCCCATGTGACTTTAAGGTTTTTTGTTGTTGTTTTGTTTTGTTTTTTCTTTTTTTTCCTCTGTACCGGGGAGTGAACTCACGACTGCCTGCTTGCAAGGCAGGTGCTTATGCCACTGAGCTAAATCCCCAGCCCCTGACTTTAAGGTTTTTTAGCCCAGCTGCCGGCTCAGGCCCTGGGCAAGGGAGTGACTCGCTGGAAATGAGCTGGTTTGCCTTGAGAAAAGCCCTGGTAGGCTCTGTCTTCCAGGCACAGCTGGGTCACCTGTCCAGGCCTTCATGGCTGGGGTGGGGTAGCCCATGTTATCACTCAGGAGCTCACACAACAGAAATGACCTCTGCATGTAGAGGACATAATTGGTCCCTTGTGACTGCAACCCCTGATTGCCTTTCTCAGCGCCACAGGGCAGCTCTCCTTGTCACCTGGGTACTTAAGGTTAGTGTACTGGTGGCAAGACATCTGCCTGTGGAGTGAACCTTCACACATGAGTGCCTGAGGTCCTGGAGTGTCCGAGGGACAGGTGTCTTGAGTAGGTGAGGAGGGCAGGTCTGGGCCTTGCCAGGCTCCATGTGTGTACTTTGAGACAGTGTCACTGCAGCCCAGGCTGCTGCCACCCGGCTGGGCTCCATGTGTATTTGTTTTGGGGAGACCATTGCCCTATGTCCTGATTACTGCACTTGAAGGCTGTGGCCACCAGGGGGTGAAAGTGCAGCATTCAGCCAGACTGCCCCTTCCCTAGCCCATGTCACCCTTGCAGGGAGCCGGGCCTGGGCTGTGCCTCCAGACCCAGTCCTGAATTAGGGAGCCCTGTTCAAACCCTTGACCCTCAGCCTGTGGCCTCCCATCTTTAGGATGGTCCTGGAACCCTGCTGTCCACCCATAACTGAGGAAGAAATGCTTTACCCAGAGTGCTACCGAGCTGGTGGCCTGGACAAGGAGGATATGGGTGCCAGAGTCCAGGCCCAGGGCGGTCTCCCCAGGCTGGGTGCAGCACCAGCCTAGTGCCCCAAGACTCATGGCCATCCATCCCTTCTCAGGCTTGCCTGCTCTGAAGACCCGTGTGGGGACTGGGTTACAGAGGGGTCAGTTAAAGCTGCCACCATGGCACCAGTGAACATCTCAACCTTGAGGTCCCAGTTGAAGAGAAGATGGCTTTAGGAGTAAATAGGTCACTGCGTGAAGGCCTGTCTGCAAAGGCCCTGGGGCCAGGTAAGGCTCCAGGGGTTTTATGACTGCAGAGCCCCTGACTTGGCAGCACTAAAACTGGTAGCTATTCTGGGAAAGTAAATAGAACCCTGCAACCCCGGGGGATCTATGGGGTCCTGGCAGGGGATGCGATGCTGGTCACTGTCACTTGCCACACTACCCAGTGCATGTGTGCACTTTCCGTGACACCAGCTTTGCAAGAAACCCCAGGTGGGCCTCAGGGAAGTAAGTCTTCAGGTGACAACATAGAACCTCATTCCAATCCTAAAAAGAAAATACCTGCTGGGAATTTGAGCAAGTGGGGACAGGGTCGCGGCAGCACGGGAGCTGCCATTACCTTAAAAGGTGCGAGGGAGCTAGTGTCCTGGTGCTCACCTGGAAATGGCCCAGTGCAGGCGGCAGGCCAGGCCGGCTGTCTGCCAGCTCAAGGGGTCCTGAGGCCCTGCCCTCTGTCCCTTCCCTAGGGCCCCAGCACCCCTCCAGTGGTTTGCTGCAGGCCGCTGCTTGCCTGAAGCTTCCCGAGTTTCTCTGCACCGTGTCCTGATGTCTGGGCTGGCCACTTTTGGTTCAGCCTCTGCTCAAGTGGCTCCTTCCCTTTGGCCAGGCCCAGGAGCCCAGGCTGTACCACAGAGGGAGAAGGGACTGGATCAAGCCCCTGGGAGTCCAGAAAGTGATGGGCTGAGTCCCAAAATGTGGGACGGAGGAAGAATCCAGAACCTTCCAGCACCCACCCTCCCCTTCCCTCCCATGAGAACCAGGTTCTTACTCGGTGGTGCCAGCTGCAGGTGGTCAGGATTGTGACTGCCTTGATCCCTGTCAGGCACTGAGTACCCTACGCAAAATTGAGGTTTCCAGGGCACTGCTGGAGATGGGTCCCACCATCACCCCATTTTATAGATGAGAAACAGGCACATCTATAATCCGTACTGTCAAGGCCAGTCTGGGCTATATAGTTGCAGAAGAGAACCTGAGGCTGGGGACAGGTAATGTGCTCGGGGCACACAGGTCTGGGCCCAGGTGTCCCTATCCAGGACTGGTGAGGCCTAGCAGGGGCATGGAAAATGGAGAAAGCACACTGCCTCAAGGGAGGAGAGTGCTCATCGTGTGCCCTGAGTTCTTAGTCGCTGTAGCCACCATTCCATTCCCAGAAAATGAGGCTGTTTGGGTCCGAGGCCTCTCTCAGTTCACATGCTGAAAACGCCCCAGCCAGGCCCCAAGGATGATGCTCCAGCCTGCAAGGAGGGAACAGGTACAGACGGCCAAGAGCAGCAAAGCAGGGATTCGGACTCTGGAACAAAGTGCTTACCTGCTGTCCCACTCTACCCTCACCGGGCAGTGCCACCAAGGCTGGTGATGAATGAGAGGCCGTGCTTCCCGGCAGCCCCTGTGGCCCAAGACTGA